CCAGGAGAGTTAGCCGGTGGTGCAGGTCCAGGGAAGCAGAGAGAGGTGAGGGCAGGGCCATGTTCAGAAGCAGTGCTCCTGGGGCCCAAGGAAGGCACTAAGTTGGTCTGGGTGAAAAAGATCAGGAAGCAGTATTGGTTCCCCAGGTGTCTGGGGACCCAAGACTAGGAATGGCACAGGGCCCAAACTAGGAGTAGAGAACCGAGGGGGAGATGGAAGGGTGAATGAGGCTAGGGGAGTCAAGGCGCGGAGGGCTCCGCGATAGACTTACCCCAAGAGAGGCCTGAGGGTAGGAGAGCAGGCTAAGAAGTTAGCCGGTGGTGCAGGTCCAGGGAAGCAGAGAGAGGTGAGGGCAGGGCCATGTCCAGAAGCAGTGCTCCTGGGGCCCAAGGAAGGCACTAAGTTGGTCTGGGTGAAAAGGATCAGGAAGCAGTATTGGTTCCCTAGGTGTCTGGGGCCCCAAGACTAGGAATGGCACAGGGTCCAAACTAGGAGTAGAGAACAGCGGGGGAGATGGAAGGGTGAATCTTTTGGTCTTTCTGAGACAGGGGCTCCCTGTAGCCCCAGCTGTCTTTGAACTCACTATGTAGAGTGAACTCACAGACATCCCCCTGCTTCTGCCTCCTGAGTGCTGGGATTAAAGGTGTGCACCACCACCCCCAGCTGCATTTTATGTTTTTTTAAGTTGATCCTTTTATGAATTTTTAAAACTTTGCAGATGTAAAGTATCTTTGTTGGTATACATAGTCTTCTTCCATCTCCACTGAATACTTCAGGTGTTTAAAGGGTCTTTGTATTCTGGCTGCACAAAGCTCAGATACATCAGCCCTGTATGAGTTTTACCAGAAAGTAATTCTTCTGGAATCTTGGAACTACTTCTTTGCTCACCATAATGGAGTTTCACCCCATGTACACAACTGATGCTCAGCTGCAGAATCCTGGAGCTCTTGTTTTATGTAGCTACCTCTCCTTAGTGCTCTGTTCCATACATCCCAGCTGTCCTGCTCACTCTCATCTCTGCTTTGTAAGATCATCATCTACTTGGATTTATCATTTCTTTGCTGTTACCAAGAAGTTATCTACAGAGACAAAATTAGTATCATTTCACATCGTACCTCTATTTTCTTTGTGCTTTACAGTGGTTATTTTAAACATCTTTGTCTACTTTTATCTTTTCTATTTTTTTTAAATTTTATTTTATGTATGTGAGTGTTTTGCCTGCGTGTATTTAAGTGCATCCATGTAGTACAAAGCCCATGGATCCCCTGGAACTGGCATTACAGACAGTTGTTAGCTGCCTTGTGTGTGCTGGAAGAGCAACCGGTGCTCTTAACCGCTGAGCCTTTTCTCTGCCCCTTGTTTTTATTGTTTGAGGCTGGGTTTCATATGTAGCCCTTTCTGGCTTGGAACTCAATATATAGATCAGGCTGGCCTTGAACTCACAGAGATTTGCCTGCCTCTCTGCCTCCCAAATTCTCGTTCTAAAGGTGTGTGCCACCATTCCTAGCTAGTTGTTTTATCTATGATTCAACAGTGTTGCTCTCTGCTAAGGCTAGAGTTGAAAATGGCATATTTTCCCTGAAGATTTACTGTTACTTAGAGTTGGTAAAAAGCCTATCTCTTGCTTTTTAAGATTTTTCTATTGTTAATGTGTGTGTGTGTGTGTGTGTGTGTGTGTGTGTGTGTGTGTGTGTGTGGTGCATTCATATATTTATGTATGTTTGTGTAACATGAGTATGCACTTGTATATAGAGGCCTGAATAACTAGTTGTCTTCTTCTATTCTCCATTTTTCTTTTTGTTGAAGCAGGTGTCTTGCTGATCGTCGAGCTGGTCCAGTCAGTAGCTTTTGTTGGGGAATCTCCTGTCCCTGCCAAGTGCTAGGATTACAGGCAGATTCCTATGCCTAACCAGCTTTTATGTAGGTTCTGGGACTCTAAACTCTATTCCTCCTCACACTTCAGCAAATGTTTTATTCACTGAACCATCTCCTACCCTGCCCATGCACATATTTTAAGACAGTGTTACCTGTCTAAGTTGATGGAGGTACATGCCTATAATTGTAGCACTCCAAAAGTTGAGGCAGGAGGTTCATGAGTTTCAAGTTAGCAAGACCCTGTCTTTAAAAGAATAAAATCTGACCAGCATGTTTTCTTTTCATGACTAGGTAGTGTAGCCAATCAAGTGTTCCACCCAGTGATGTTTGACAAGTGTATTCAGATTCTAAAGAAGAGCTGGCCTCAACAATCTAACTTGAATCAGAAAAGGAAAAAAGAGGAGCCCAAGAGTTATCAGGATAATTATAGAAGGAGTAGGAAAAGAGGAAAGCCACCCAGGAAAGAAGATATTCGGGTAAGAAGTAGATGGGATAAGAAGACCTTATTATGTCAGTATACAACTTTTAACTTTTTTATTATGTGTATGAGTGAATTGGCTGCATGTAAGTACACTCATGTTATTCAATGCCTACAGAGGACAGAAGAGGGCATCGGATTCCTCTGGAACTGGAGTTACAGATGGTTGTTAGCCACTGTATGGGTGCTGGGAACTGAACCCGAGTCCTCTGGAAGAACAACAAGAACAGCCAGTGCTCTTAGCCTCTGAGCCATTTCTCTAGCCCCACCTTTAACTTTTATTATGTATATGAATGTTTTGCCTACACGTGTGTAGTGTACTTGAGTTGTGCAATGCCCATGGAAGCCAGAAGAGGGCACCAGATCTGGAACTGATGGAACTGGAGTTAACAGATGGTTGTTAGTTGCCATGTGGGTGCTGGGATCTGAATCTGGGTTCTCTGGAAGAACAGCCTGTGCTCTTAACTGCTGAGCCATCTCTCCAGCCCTTCTTAAGGATTGAATTTCTGTGAAGTATGGTTTCAGGCATCCTGATTACAAGGTCCTAAACTATTTATCACCTATTATCCAGTATGACTTGAGTTGCCTCTTGGGCTTCATATACTACTAAGGGAATGCTTCTGCCTTCTCAGTGTTCTTCTACCTTCCAGTCATTTCTCCTAAGTGTTGTTGGCAGTAAACCAACTAATATGTTTGCATTATTATTATTACTCTTGTTGTTGTTACTTTGAGACCTTGAGCTCTGTGTGTAGCTGAGGATGACTTTCAACTGCTGATCCCCTTCCCTCTACTTCCTGAGTGCAGGAATTTCAGCAGGCATGCACTACCATGCCTGGTTTATATGATACTCTGGGGATGAAACCCAGGATCTCATACAAGCTAGGCAAACTGCCAACTGAACTACATTCCCAGCCTCTATCCATTTTTTCTTTTCTAACATTAAAGAAGGTGGTTAAAGTGTTCTGGGGTTTATATCTGTAAAAATATGGATTTCCAGATTCTTGTATGGTAAAGTAGAATGGTAGTTTACTGGTATCAGAATTTCTCAGATGTAGGAAATCTTATTGACACACAAAAAAATACAGAGGTAGAAAGGACTGTAGTCACAGAGCCCAGTGATTTTTCCACTGTAGCCATGGCGACCTGGGACAGTCATAGGGACCTGGGCAAAGTGACATCATCTGAGCAATTCAGCCGCTTACCTGACATTTGCTTAATTTGGGTAAATTGAAAACCATGGGACAAAAATGTGAGGCATGACTAAGTCACACATTTTTTTTTTTTTAAATAATCCAGATGGATGAATTTACAGAAGAAGAAGAGGAGGAGAATATTTATTTTTCTTCTCGGGACCTTTCTCAAATCCGAAATGCCATATTTGGTCTTCTAAAGAATTTTTTAAGGCTTCTGCCCAAGTTTTCCCTCAAAGAAAAGCCACAGTCTGTACAGACTTGTATAGAGGTACGTGACAATTCTAAGGACTTTGTAAGTGCATAGGACATAGACTACAGCTGATGCTTAATGAACAGAAAAAATTTAGAGCTTTTCTCGTTATCCAGGTCTTTGTTGCATTAACTGCTTTTGAGCCAGTTCTTCAGGGATTTCTTGTTTCACCAGCCAGGTACGCCCTCAAATCTATCATTAAATGTGACAGTGTAATGACTTTTGCTTCAGAACAGTAAGTGCCGTTTCATTCTAATTGGCATGTAAGTCAAGTCCATTCATTTAAACATGACTTTGAAAAGCCTGCTGAGGTGGTATTGGCCTTATCAGCTGCTTGGGAGGCTGAGGCAGAACAGTTGTTTGAAAGAGTTCTAGGGCAGCCTGAGCAACACAGTGATGCCGCATCCCAAAAGAGGTAAATAAACAAATAAGACTTCCAGGGGTAAGGAATATTCCTAGAAAAATAAAATCCTTTAGCTAATGTTTAGGCCTTTTTCTTTAGGGATCTTCATGAAGTAAGACACATACCAGAGCTGGCCTATTGTGGATTGTATTTGCTGTGCTCCCCAATTCATGGAGAAGGAAATAAGGTAGGGGAGAGGAGGAATCTAACTTACTGGTCTTATTTTCTGTTTGAATTGAAAGTGGGCAAAACACATAATAGATGTTAAAAGCATTTGCTAATCCCCATTTGTTCTCACTTTTACTTTGCAGGATTCCAATTACCTGCAGTCATGTGTAGTAAAAGGGGTTAGTGCTGTATAATACGATACTTCGGCTGGGTTGGCACACGCTTTTAATCCCAGCACTCAGGAGACAGAGGCAGGAAAACACATCTGTCTGTCGGTCTGTCTGTCTGTCTATCTATCTATCTATCTATCTATCTATCTATCTATCTATCTATCTAATCTATCCATCCATCTATCTATTATTAATGAATGAATGACAAGGTCTCACTGTGCAACTCTGTGACTGGCCTGGAACTCACTATGTAGACCAGGCCAACTTGAACTCACAGAGATCCGCCTACCTCTGCTTCCCGAGTGCTGAGATTAAAGGTGTGCACCATCATGCCTGTGTCAGTTATCATGTATTATAGTATATTGTTGTACTTGTTCTACATTTTTATTCTTAATAATCTCTTCTTAATCTGCATTATGCCTAGTTGAGCTTGTCTTGGGCATCCCCGACTCTGCCTGAGTGCTAGGATTACAGGTACCTGCCATGTTTGCTCAGTTTTTAATGTGGGTTTATTAATTAAATTGTATTGTAGGTATGTCTTTATAGAAAAACTAGTACAGAATTTGGTACTAACAATTTTAGGCATCCATAAGTGAATGGGCAGGCTTGGTACTTAAGATGTGTGGCTACAGGGCAGTTGGCTCTGATGCCATTTTAATTTACTAGGTCATTTTCAGGACTTTTCGTTACCTAGTATATATCCAATATATTTGGTGGTTCAAAAAAATTATTGTTAAGCTTCAGAGAAGAAAAGTGTTTTGGTATGACTTAACTAGGAGAAACAGGTTAAGTGCTCAGCAGATACTTTGATAGATAATTATCGGAGTTTTAAAGTTTTCTTTAGCAATTCATGTGTGTTTTGGTATATCTTTTAGTATTTGTATTGTTTTTGTTAATGTTCTATGAAATATTTAGGCTATCATTCGTAGTTAGCATTAATAATCTAGATTTCTACCCTCAAGTTACTAAACTTAGATTATCACAAATAAAAGAAGGCTGTCTTGGGATTGGTGATAGATGCAGGTCTGCTGACTGTTCCTGGGTCTGATTTGTTAATGTGCAGTGGCAGTATGTAGTTCAGAAGACTTTGGAGGTTACCTGGCATTCAAATCCCAATTCATATTCCTGCTAGCTATGTGTCCTGTTATGAGTTATGTGACCTTGGGAAAGCCTTAGGTTTCACATCTAGGTAAGAAAGGAAGTCTTATTTCTTCCTAGAATTGCCACAGAATTAAATGAAGTTATGCTAAATGTAATTCCTCTTGTTTTAAAATCATACAATATTTTATAATTCTGTCTGTCATTTCTGTGCTTGAAATATGAATGTGATATAATAAGCAGAAGTATTTTTAATTCTCATGCCCTCTAAAAGTTTTAAACTATGGAGTAAATGGGAAATTTCATCCTTGTAAGTATACTGTGTCTAAAGATTTTTAATTTTGAGAATATTTTGCTTTCTATCAGACAACCTTGGTTTAAGCTGAGCTTTACTTGACTTTGACCTTTGGAGTTTGTTATCTGTAAAGTAGAAATTTTGTATCATCCTGCTTGCCTCATCTAGAAGCCCATGGTTACAACAATAAAGTCTAGTCCATATCCAAAAGTGTTTAATACCTGTCTTGTGGGTTTCAGTGGAAGTTTTATTTGCTGAATAAACCAATCAGTTGAATAAATTATATGGGAAGTTATATTGGGAAATGTTTAGTAAAATGCAAGGGCAAGATATCTTTTACCTATTTTACAAAAAGGAACATTTGTATGACTTACCCTGAATTCTGGATTATAATGCAGAAATATTGGGGAGACAAGTAAGGTGGTGTTCTTAAAATTACCTATAAGCAAACTTGCACACAGTTTACTTTGATTGTAAATAAGTATAATGCAAACGTGGTATGTACTTAGTGAATACTTGGTAGTTGTCCAAGAAACACATCCTTAGTGTTCAGCATCAAAATCTTTGAGATACCAGAATTTCTATCATACCTTAAATTGAACTTTCTTTTCTCTTCCAGGTTATTGGTTCTATTTTCCATAAAATGCTGAAAGTAATACTGATGTTAGAAGTAGGCGAAAGGTCCCATTGTGCCCCAATAACTATTACTTCACAAGCCATCAGTTGTAGAAACCAGGCAGTCCAGTTTATCAGGTGAAGCACATAACTCTTGAATTTCTGTTGTCAATGTTCCTTAATAGCCTGCTCCCTGTACTAATCAAGGCATCTGACTCCACTTGGTGGTTTTGTGGGTCAGAGTTAAGCACTGCATAGCCTATCTGTTTCCTGTGGTCTGGGTCATAGTTGACAGTTTCTGTGTTGCACCATTGTTAAAGACACAGCATTGAACCAGAATCAGCTTCCAGTTTGAGTCTGTCCTCCATGGAATCAGTTGAGAGGACAGTTGCATCTTCCCTATCAGTGTTTACTTAGGTTTTCACCTCTCTAGAACAGAACAGGCCAGCCTCCTGTTCCTCCTTTCTGTCCTTCTACTTGCATTTCTTTGCCTTTGTTTCTTGCCCTTTTTTTTGTTCCTTTGTTTCTTCTCACTTTTCTGCTCCATCCTCTACAGAGAATACTTGCTCAAGGAGAAAAATTGAGTACTGACTTTCGTTTTCTTGGCAATGATTGGTAGACTGCCTTTTCTGCCATATGTCACTTAGCTGCACCCAAGTTTCCTCATGCTTTTATTGGGAAAGAAATGTTTGCTGCGTCCTCTGTGTTTCTTTTTCTTCTTCACTCAGTTATTTGGCATGCAGTGTGGAGGAATAGCTGCTGGATTCTCTGGCGTGTGGTATGTTTGGAGAGGTGGCTCTGGATGATGCTGTCTTGTCACTGAATAATGCCTCTCCATAGGAATTTGTCTGTTGGTTTTTTTTTTTTTTAATTTTTATTTTATGTGTATATGTGTATTGTCTGCATGTAGGTAAGTGCACCCATGTCATACAATGGCCGCGGAGGACAGAAGAGGCTGCTGGATCCCCTGGAACTGGAGTTACAGACAGTTGTTAGCTGCCAAGTGGGTGCTAGGATTCAAACCTGGGTCTTCTGCAAAACCAACCAGTGTTCTTAACTGCTGAACCATCTATCTCTCCAGCCCTGTTGGAGTTGTTTTTGAGACAGGGTCTCATTCTGTAGCCCAGGCCGACCCTGTAACTCAGCCTGACTTAGACCTTGTGATAATCTTGCCTCAGCATTCTGAGTGGTAGGATTACAGGTGTGAACCACTACTGCCTGGCTAGGATTTGTGCGTGTGTATGTGTGTGTGTGTTTGTGTGTGTGTGTGTGTGTGTGTGTGTGTGTTTGTGTTTTGTATGTGGAGGTCAGAGGACAACTTTTGGGATTTGGTTCACTTCTTCCACCATGTGGGTCCTAGAGATGGATCTCAGATCACTGGCTTGGCGGCAGGTGTCTTTACCTGCTGAAGTATCTCTCTGGCTCATGGCTAGGATTTTTGGAAAATATTAAATAACTAGGATGTTTTAAGTGGAAACACTGTTGCTTGATTTTTTTCCACAAGAAAAATCAAGAGTTCGTTATGTTGCCAGTTGAATAGTATTTATGTAGTGGTTCAGATAATATAGTGAATCCTTCCTGAGTAGGAGAAATAATACAAATGCATTTAAAGAAGCAGCATTGTGCTGAGCTGCCACATGGCGGTGCTATGTCTTAGCCTGTTCTTCAGTTTATCCTAAAGTGTTATATTTTACAGTTTACTATGAAATTCATAATAGTTAAAAAGTCATAATGAAGATTGCAGTTTTGCTCTTCCTTAATGACTTGGTTTCTCAGTGATAGCTGTCTATAAAATTGCATAGAAAGCACATTTTTAAAATTTGATACAATGCCTTTATTCTTTACTGAAACAACTTTATTTTTTACTGGAAATACTGTAGAATAAGTTGGGTTTCTTTAGGGGTTTTTGTTGTTGTTGTTGTTTTTGGTTTGGTGTGGTTTATATTTTTTCTTTTTGGCCTATTTGAGACTAGTTCTCCCTGTAGCCACAGCTATCCTAGAATTCTGTAGACCAGGCTGGCCTCGATCTCAGAGATCTGCCTGCTTCCGAGTAGGTTGTTTTTACAGTTTTTATTTATTACTACTAACATATGTGGAGTGTGTGTGTGTGTGTGTGTGTGTACATACAGGCCACTGTGCGTGTGTGGATGTCAGAGTTCAGCTTTATGAAGTAGGTTTTTCTCTCTCCAGCTTTACGTGGGTTCTGGGGATCAAACCCAAGTTGCCAGGCTTGTGCGACAAACGCTTTTACCTGCTGAGCCATTCTGCCAGCCACAAGGGGGTAGATTGTTTTTAATACTTAGAATTTCTGAAAAATATGAGTCTTGGTTTTTAAGCAACAAGTTAAAATAATTTAGTGTTGTGTTGTAATAATAGATACATTGTAAACTAGATTTGTGTTTTTCTTTGACATAGCTCACTTGTGGATGAACTACAGGAAAGTATATTCCCAGTTCTTCGTATTTTGCTGCAGCATATCTGTGCTAAGGTACTGTGTGCTTTAGGAATTACAATATATAAGTATATTAAATATGGAAAGTGAAGTGTGTATTTGTTCTTAGAAATGAGTCTGTATTATTACTAAAGTAGTTGTATTTAATAATAGATATCCTCCTAAACAAAGTGGCTTTTTGTGTGTTTTATGACAGGGTTTTGCTGTGTAGCCCAGGCTAGCCTCCAAATATTTTTAAAATATTTTATTTTTTATTTTTATTTTATGTGTATGACTATATTGCCTGCATATGTGTTAATGCAACTCATGTCATGCAATGCCCACAGAGGTCAGAAGAGGGCATCAGATCCCCTTGAACTGGAGTTACAGACAGTTGTTAGCTGCCATGTGGGTACTGGGATTTGAACCTGGTCTTCTGCAGCCAGTTCTCTTAACCGCTGAACCATCTTTCTATCCCCAAGCCTCCAGATCTTAATCCTGTTGCTTGTAGACTCTTGTGCTGAGATTGTAGGCAGGCATCACCACAGCCAGCTAATAAAGTGTTTTTTAAAATATAAAATTTTTGTGTTTGAAAATGTTCGATGTACACAGAAACAGGTAGAGAGTGTTATGAATCAGAGCATTCCCACCAGCCTGGGCTTTGGTTTTGTTTGACTTGTATGCTCCAACACATGCATACTGCTTTGCATCTTGTGAAGCAGAGTCCATCCTATTCTTTCATTCATTACGTTTTAGTCTTTATCTCTAAAAGGATAAGAACTTTAAAAAACATAACTGTATAATTTTAACATACCTAAAAGATAAACTAATTTCAAATAACTAATCTTGTTCAAAGTTTTGCTAATATATCTTACAAATCTATACAATTGTTTAAGCAAACAGTTCTTAATTTGATCCTTATCAACCATAGAGATGCGTAGTCTCTGAAATTGTTCATTTTTCTGCTGAGATTTTTAGTTTAGCTTTCAAAAGGTGGTAAAACCTAACATTTGTTAGTTATTTGTCTAGTTAGAGATCATTGAGCTGATTACACTCACAGATTTTCAACTACAACATGAGTTTCAGTCATCCTGTAAGTAGATGGCTGTTAGCTTCTTTTTTTGTGTGTTTCAGGTGATAGATAAATCAGAGTATCGGACCTTTGCAGCACAGTCCCTGGTCCAGCTGCTTAATAAACTTCCTTCTGGGGAATATGCTGCATTCATTGCCTGGCTTTACAAATATTCACGAAGTTCCAAGGTAGGAGTCTTGTCTGAATAAAAGCCTAGGTCCTGACTGAGCAAGCCTGATGATACACAGATCTGAATGCAGTAGAGACTTTTCTTTGCTTCTCACTCCTTACTGATGGTGACCCTTCTGATTCCACCTTACCAGATTCCACACCGGGTTTTTACTCTGGATATTGTTTTAGCTCTCTTAGAGCTGCCTGAGAGAACAGTGGATGACAGTCTATTCTTGGAGCATCAGAAGTTCCTAAAACATAAATTCTTGGTGCAAGAAATTATGTTTGACCGTTGTTTAGACAAGGCACCTACTGTCCGCACCAAGGCACTGTCCAGCTTTGCACACTGTCTGGAAGTGTCTGCTAGCAACACATCAGAAAGTATACTGGACTTCCTCATTAACAGTAAGTAGGGGAGGCTAGGGGCATATCTCATTGGTCACTTGCCTAGTGTGCCCACCATGGCCAACAAGAAAAAACAAAAGTCAAAAAATGGACTGCAAGTGGGTTATGGCCAAAAATAGTGTGGTAATGATCAATTTTATCCTCATAAGCTATTTTCTCTATAGTCTGTGTAAAGGCTCAATCCCAGAACCTTACACATGCTAAACATATACCCTGTAATTCTGATATTTCACAAACTTCAAATACCTTTTTAAATAGGAAAGCCTGGTACGTTTGGAAGACCTTTCTAAAACAGGAGAGAAAATTGTCAGCAATTTAGAGCATGTCTGCTTTGACTTTAGGCCTAACTGTCTTGATTTTTGAGTCCTCTGGATATTTACTTGGGATTTATGCTATTTTCCCCCTTTTATATGCTTACTTTTAGGTCCTTTTGTTTCAGGACTACAGAGTCAGCCTGGTACCTTGTTGAGACATTCATCAGGTAATGGATCAGAATGTTTTCTAATACTGAATAATTGGAAAGACTTGCTGAAATATCTGAAAGAATTCTTTGGCTTCCATATTTACCTGTTTTAATGGTGTTCTTTCTTCCTCAAAGAAGTTGAAATTCTTTTCAGTCATTTCATCACTTGAGTACCATGCTGTACTTATGCTATTGAAAATGTAACACACTTTTACCTCAATCTTTTTTTCTTTTAAATAGTACTTTCTTGCCCGAATTGGACATCTACCTCTTCTAAGCCCTCAACACAGAACTTCATAGATAACAGTGGTGAAAGAGTTGGATCTGGTATGTCAGGTTTTATCACTATCGAATGGGTAATACTAATGGATTGTAGACAGTCATAAAAACAGGGAAAAAACTTGAAGGGTTTCTTTTTTCTCTGATTAACTTACCCTTAAGAATTAAAATATTTTTTTTCTTATGAATGAGTAACTTCTGTTGTAACTGCTCTTTTGAAAATCAAACTTTATTAGTACATATTGATTGTCCACAAAACATCATTTTCATACATCCGTCATCACCCACACTTATCCTGTCCTCTTGATCCTCCCGCTGTCCCCTACTCCTTCCCAGAAGTTTCCCTGTCTACTTTCTTGACTCATATATATATATATATATAATGAAACATATATGTTTCATATTAATGTACTTTTACATAATCTATCACATGTGAGAGAACACATGTGATGTTTATGTTTCTGAGTCTAACTTATTTTGTTTAACATGATAATCTGTGGTTTCCTGCATTTCTCTGCAAATGACATTATTTTGTCCTTCCATATGGTTGAATAAAACTTTATCATGTGTGTATACTACCTTTTCTTTATTCATTGGAGACACTGAGACCGATTCTGTGACTTTGCTGTTATGAATAATGCCACAGTAAACATGAATGTGTAGGTATACCTGTTATATGCTGACCTAGATTACCTTCAGATAAAAACTCACAAGTGGTATAACTGGATTATATGGCATTTCTCTTTTTATTTTATTTTGTTAAGAACTGATTTTTACTACCTGTGTATTGGTTCCATTTCACCCTGTATCCTTGCCCATATTGGTTGGTTGTCTTGTTCATATTTTTTGAGACAGTCTCTTGTAGCCAAGGATGACCTTGAACTCCTAATCTTCCTACCTCCATCTCCCTAGTGTGGGATTACAGAAGTACACCACTGTGCCTACTTTATGTAATGCTGTGGGGTATTGAAGTCACTTACTACTTTGTATCAGGGCCTGTCTCTCCCTTTAGGTCCAGTATGTTTGTTTTTTGTGAAACTGTACACTGTTGACATTCAGTGCATATGTTTTGATTGTATCTCTTTGATATATTATCTTACTAATATGTTTCTCTCTTTTGACTCATTCTGGCTTGAACTATGCATTGTCTGATACCAGTATTGTTCCTCCTGCTTGCTTTCAGATTCCATTTGCTTGGAATATCATTTTCCACCCTTCCACCTTCAGTCAATGGTGTGTTTGCTAATAAGGTGTATTTCTTGAAGGCAGCAATTCTTTTTAAGCCAGTTAATCAGCCTGTGTGTTTTAATTGAAGGACTAAGACCATTTATATTCACAGTTGCTATTGAAAGATGCACACTAACTCATCATTTTCTAATGCTTGGTTAAAAATGTTTCCCTAATGTTTGATTCTTTCCTAGTACTCATTTGCTTGTCTGCTCTTTTTCCCTGTGTTCTTGAGGCTCTTAATCTTCTTTCTGTGAAGGATTTCTTTAATGTCTTTTTTAATTTATTTTTTTTATTTTATGTGTATGCGTGTATTACCTGCATGTAGGTAAGTGCACGTATTGCAATACCCACGGAGGTCAGAAGAGGCCATTGGATCCCCTGGAACTGGAGTTATGAACAGTTGTTAGCTGCCATGTGGGTTCTGCAAAAACAATCAGTGTTCTTAATCGCCGAGCCATCTCTCCAGCCCCTTTTAATGTCTTTTGTAGTGTTGACTTAGTGGTCATAAACTTCTTTAGTATGTATTTTCCATTGAAGGGCTTTATTTTTCTTTTGATTCCTGGTTCTAGTAATCTGATCTGCCAACTCCCTTTTCCTTGATGGGTTTGCCTTCATAATAGAGTTGGTACTTTTCTCTTTCAGGTTTCAGTGTTTTTTCTTTTTATGTACTCTTAGCATTTCAACTGTAGTATGATGTGGGGAGGATCTTTTCTGGACATGTGGGTTTGGGGTTTAAATGCTTCCTTTTTGAAGTCAATGACCGTATCTTTCCTTGGACTTGGGAAAATTTCTGCTATTTCATTGAGTAGGTTTTCTATGCCTTTAATCTATGTCTTCATACTGCCTTTTTCGCTCAAAACATATACATTTGTTTTTCTAATCCTGTCCCAGTGGTTTTTCATGTTTTGTTCATAATCTTTATGTCTTTATTACTGTCTGGATGCTTTTCTAAATTTCTAGCTGTTGAACTTCCCATTCATAACTTGAATTATCTTCCTTAATTTGTTTAGTTGTTTTTCTATATTTTCTTGGATTCATCAGTTCTTTAGAAAAAAAACATTCTTTTGAATTCTTTATCCAGCATCTCATTTACTTCAGTATCTTTGGGGTTGGTTTCTAAGGAATTAAAACCTTTTGAAGAAGTCATATTGCTTTGCTGTTAATATTTATTTTTATTTCTTTGTTGAGATTTATGTATCTGTTGGATTAGACATACCTCCTACATTTTCGTGAGAGCCTTTTTAGGGAACATCCATGTCTTGATTTTGCATCTAGGGATATATAGTTGTGAAGCAGTAAATATATTTCGAGTTGAGTTTTGTAGTCTAGTTTTCTCAGTGACTTCTGTGATGGGGAGATAGAGCCTGGCACAGGTGTATCCGAGCCTGAAGTTTCTACTTTTTTTGTATGTCTCACAAGAACGGAGTACTTCTTAGGATGAAACATCACTCCAGGACCACACTGCTACACAGGGCAGACACTGACTGGGAGAGTGTGCATTACTTGTTGTGAGCTCTCAAGAAAAGGGACATACATGTGGAGACTCTTCTCCTGAAGGAGCAGATGTGGATGTGGCCCCAAGATGGCTCCCTGTTAGCACCATGCTTCTATGTCCAGAAACAGAGTAAACACTTGTTAGGTGCAGGAATGCTCTGGGGCTCCCGGATCGCTGGGTTTAGACTGACTTTCTGTTGTAAATCCTTTGTTGTGTCCATTTTTCTCCACAGTGCTTCCTCCTATTTCCCTTGCTTTGCTCCTCTCCTCTACTGGGCTACCACAGGCTCCACACTATTGTGCTATTCCTCCCCCTCTTCTGATGACTCTGGGTCTTTGTAAGTCTCTGCCCAATCTTAAACATCATTGTATCCCCTCAGCCACCTACCTAACTGAGAAGTTGTTTTCTGGCTTGTTCAGCTCTGATCCACTGAAAAAGCTGGAACATGCTTCTAGTCCTGTGTTTTCTACTAAAAGTTTCATAATTTTAGCTTTTACATTTAGGTCTTTGGTGAATTTTTAGTTATTTCTTATGTGATATTGAGGTCTTTGCATGTTACCCATTTGACAATGTACCACACATTTGACAGACTGCTCCTTCAGTCCTTGAATGGTCTTGGTGCCCTTGTCGAAACCAGTATGAAAGGAATCTAATGGAATAAGGTTTTGTTGGTAGACTTCCTCTAGTGCTGTCTCTGGGCTGGTAAGAATCTAAAATTGTCTTAGTAAGGAGAATTATGTCATGCCTTTGGGCAGAAAGTGCAAGAGATCGCTTTTCTGCTTGCTGCTGCTTCATTGCTTTTAGTTAAAAAACAATTTCTTGTCAAAGAGTCATATTTTTTTATTTTATGGCTATAAGTGCACCCATGTCGGACAGTGCCCATGGAGGCCAGAAGGTGTTACAGATTGTTGTTAGCTGCCATGTGGGTACTGTGATTCAAAAACCAGGTCCTTTGCAAGAGCAGCCAGTGCTCTTAACTGCTGGGCCATCTCTCCTGCCCCAAAGAGACATGTTTTGAGGTGATATGCTCTAGATTCCATCAAGAGGTTCTAAACATCAGGAGGTGTGGGTTCTCTGTATTTGCTCTTCTGCAAAACAGGTTTGGCTCTTCTGAGTCCTTTGTATTTCTTATGAATTTTAGAGCCACCTGTTTATATCGACAAAAAATAAAAACAACCGGACACTCCTGAGATACGTGTGTGTACATGTGTGTGCATGTTTGTGTGGTTTTTCTCTAAGGCAAGAGCTTTCTGTGAAGCCCAAACTGTCTTTAAAGTGGAAGTCCTCCTGCCTCAACTCCCAGATGATGAGAATACAGCCAGATGCCACCACATACCACATCAATAGTGCATTTAAAAGGGACTGTTTTGGATATCAATTTAAAGAGAATTAGTAGCATGCTAATGTGACATTCCTCTGATCTGTCAGTTTCAGGTACCTATTTGTTTGATGTTTAATTTGTTTCAGTGATGTTTTTGTTGCATTGTTTACTTTTTTTAGACAAAGTCTCCTGTGTATCCCAGGGTGACTTTGAACTCCCCGTCCTCCAACGTCAGTCTCCACATGCAATACAGCATGCTTGTACAGCCATGTCTGTCTTGTTTTGTTGTTTTCATGTAAACAAAAATAATTTCTTTCAGAGTCTCACCATGTAACCCAGGTTGGTCTATAACTCATTAAATGACCTACCCTGGCCTAAAACTATCTATCTTCCTTGGCTTGGCCTCCTGAGTGCTGGGAGGACAGGCTTTTAAAACTAATCCAAGCATCAGAGTTTACAAAAATGTGAAGCAGTATCACTCCTCACTGTTTTTCTTTTGTTACACTTTTTGGAAAATATAACTATTTTTTATTAAAATATTATTTATAGTAATGTCTTATGTTATCTTATTTTGTATATGTGTAGATATAATGGTGGAGGCATACACATGTCATGGTATGCAAGTGGAGGCCCAAGGAAAACTTTCAGAGGACAACTTTGGAAAGTTCTCTCTCTCTTTCCACCTTTATATGGGTTCCAGGGATCAAACTAAGGTTGTTGAGCTTGTAAGACAAGCATCTTTACCCACTGAGCCATCTTGCTAGCCACTCTTATTTGTAAATTAAGTATTAAATGTTCTTAACAATTCTCAGTTAAAAGTTTCTAATTCACACTAAAAATTGAAATCTACACAGCAAAGTTATTTGGGGTACTAAGTAATTCAAGAGTGGAAAGTTTAAAGTGGTCACAGATTATCTCATCAAATCTGTAAAACAACTCTGTGGGTTGTGATATACTTTTTTTGTAGCTGAACAAAGTAGAAGAGGTAAATAATTCATTCAGAATTTTAGGGGAGGACTGGAGAAAGGCTCAGCAGTTAAGCACACTTGCTGTTCTTCCAGAGGACCCCCTATGTACTACCCAGCACCCACATCAGGCAGCTCAGAGTTGCCTCTAGCTCCAGCTCCGGGGAGCTAACACCATCTTCTGGGCCCTTTCCTGCCCTCACATGGCATATACACACAGACATATACAAAATAAAAAATAAAGTAAATTCTAAAAATTTAGAGGTAGGAATCAAAATTTAAGATGGTAAATTACTAATATTCTAAAACTACTGCTTTTTATGGTGAATATTGATTATTCAAATTTTCTTTTTCAACAGTTTTTGATACTCTTAATTTCTTAGGACTCAAAGCATAGGAATTAGTGAGTCATTAGGAAAATCCTGTTTTCTCAGTATTGTATGCTGACGTTAAGTAGTGCCTGGCTTTCCTCAAGACTGTGATTCTTTGGTGTTCTGTCAACAGAAAGATGCGTCATAGCAATGCTGAGAAAAAGAATCAGGGATGAGAAGATCAATGTCCGAAAGTCTGCACTCCAGGTGGGAGCTTTACCTTTAACTATGCCTTAATTAAGCACTAAAACTTAGAAATGTAAGGGAATGTTTTAAGGCCATATTATTTATTATTTAACTTACTTTTCATAATTGACTTCAGTTCTTTCATTTATAAACTGCATGGATGAACTGGAGAATTTCCCATTTTTAAAGCTTTCTTATTTGCTAGCTTTTTAAGACTCACAACTTTTGTAGGATGTATGGCACATACCTGTTATCTCAGCACTCAGGAGGCAGAAGCAGGAGGCTTGAAGTTTGAGTTTGAGATCAGCTTGATTTACTCAGTGAGTTCTAAGTCAGCCAGGGCTGAATAGTAAGAGACTGTGCAACAACAGCAACAACAAAAAGAATCAACAACTTTTTATATGTAATTTGTTCAAACTAAAAGAGACCATGGATGAAATTCAATAGGCTAGTGAAATTGGTTGTATTTCTTTATAGAAAATGTTAAATTTTCTCTAGAGAAAGTCCTTCCAAAAGATAGAATACTGCAGGGAAATGAAACTGACCCACGATTCTCAAATGTTAAAAACTATGAGCTTAAAGTACTTGTCTATTTTTACTTTCTATATTTGTACCCTGTGGTCACCACTGCATGTTGTGCCTTTTAGGTGTTAGTGAGCATTTTGAAACACCATGACATCTTGGACATGCAGGAAGACCTGTTGATTCTGCAGGACCATTGTCGAGACCCTGCTGTGTCTGTCCGAAAGCAGGCCTTACAGTCTCTTACAGAACTTGTCATGGTGGGTAAGAAGCACAGCATGTATTTAATGCATAATGTGTTACATTAAAAGCAATTCTGAGCTGGCCTTAGTGACTAACAGTTGTAATCCCAACATGCAAAAGGCTGAGGCAGTGTGAATTTGATGTCATCTTGAACTACAGCTAAGCCCCCATTTTTAATTTTTGTTTTTAAAGTAGCTCTTTTGTTTTTAAAGTAGTACTGGGGTTGGGATGTAGCTTAGCTGTTTTCCATATGCAGAGTCTTTGAGTTAAATTTAAAATACCAAAGGGGGTGGGGTGCTTCTGTGTAATAAATGCTTCTTGCTAAATATTAGGTAGACCATTTAGAAATTGAACAGTCCACTGTAGGACCAAGCACCGTAGATGGGGGAGGGGTTATCTTTGACAGATGACTTCCTATTTAAATACAATTAGGAACTAAAGTGATGCCATTTCTTGACTGTATCATAAATCTCAGAAACTTTAATTTTTTAAATTTCTTTTTATGTCATGTGTGTGAATGTTTTGCCTGCATCTATGTAAGTGCACCTATGTTATGCAAAGCCCATGGAGACCCGAAGAGGGCATTGGAATGCCTGAAACTGTAGTTAATGGGAAGTTGTTAGCCACCAGGTGGGTCCTGGGAACCAAACCCAGGTCTTCTGTAAGAGCAGTTCAGTGCTCTTAACCACCGAGCCATCTCTCCAACCCCAGAAAAAGAAACTTAAAAAAAATTTATTACACGTATTCCCCTTTTAATTTTTATTTATGTGTATGTGTGTCAGTGTCTGCGAGTATGCATATGTGGTGAGTAGGGTGAGCCCAAGGTGCCCATAGAGGTCAGAACTGTTGAATCTCCAAGTTTGAGTTATAGGTAGTTGTTGAGTCATCTGATATGGGTGTTGGGAATTGAACTTGGGTCCTCTGGAAAAGTGGCAATGTGCTGGATATCTTTAGTGTCAACTTGACACACCTGGGTTGAGGGAGCCTCAATTTGGGAATTTCCTCTATTGGACTGGCCTGTGGCCATGTCTTTGGGGGCATCTTCTTGATTGTTGAGTGATGTGGGAGGGCCCAGCCCACTGTGGGTGGTGCCACCCCTGGGCAGGTGGGCCTGTGTTGCATAAGAAAGCAGGCTGAGCAGGGGCCAGGGGAGCAAGCCAGTAAGCAGAGTTCCTCCATGGCCTGTGCTTCAACTCCTGCCTTCACATTCCTGCCCTGAGTTCCTACCTTGGGCTCCCTGATGAACTGTGACCCAGGAGATGTAAGATAAGTAAACCCTTTCCTCCCCAAGTTGGTAGTGGTCAGAGTGTTTTGTCACAGCAATGAAGAAACACACTAGGACAGGTGATAAGCACTCTTCCCCATTAAGCTATCTGCCCGACCCAAGAATGAAACTTAAAATCAACTTTGCTAAGCTCAAGGCATACATTTAATTTTTGTCAGGGAGGGAGAGAGGGAGGGAGGAAGGGAGCAAGGGAGGGATTATTAAAATCGTATTCATTATTTCTTTATATTTTTTAATTTTATGTGTATGAGTGTATTGCCTGCTTGTTTGTAAGTGCACCTGTGCCATGCAGTGCTTGTAGAGGTCAGAGGAGGCCATGAGATCCCCTGAACTTGGAGTTATGGGCAGTTATTAGTTACCATGTGAGTGCTGGAACTGAACCTGGGTCCTCTGCAGGAGCAGTTAGTGCTCTTAACCACTGAGCCATCTCTCCCAGCCCTATATTCATTAATTTTGTATATAATTTGCTTCTCAATTGGACTTCAAGAATTTTTAAAAGATGTCGATTTTTCTTATTTTGGTTTAATTTTTTTTAAAAATTATTTATTTAATAACCACATACTTAGAAGAAGCATTTCATTACAACAGCATTGACATATTCAGTAACAATTTCCTGAACTAAGATGCATCGCTTTCAAAATTGACTTTAAATTTTTAGGTTTACAATTGAATTATTACACTTACACAATATTGTACTCAGTATAAACCCCATAAGACATAAAATTAAATGAGGTTTTAACCTTTAAAAAAAAAAAATCTCCTTTTCATTATTACAATACACAGTTTCATACAGAAAAACTCATCTTTAATGTAATTGACATTAAGATGTTTGCACATGCGTTTCTAATCTCTATATATCTGATTATTGCTAGTCACAGTTCTGAGCTCCTTGGCATCTGAGCATAGATACAAAGTCGTCAGGTAGATCTCAATGGTAATGTTTTTCACATCTACTAATTACTATGACTTAAGTTTTAAAATTTTTATGCTTTGAAGAATTAGTTTTTAATCATTTCTTTTAATTTTTAATAACTACATGATTAGAAGAAGCTTTTCATTACAGCTTTAACATTCAGTAACACACTCCAGAGCAAGAGTACATCTCTTTCACAAGTGGCTGCAAGTTTTTAGGTTCACAGTTAAATTAATACAGTTATACAATATTGAACTCAGTATAAGCCCTGTAAGACTTAAAATTGAATGAGTTTTTAACCTTTAAAAAAGATCTCCTTTCATTTTAGAATATATTGTTCCTTGCAGAAAGACTCATTGTTTTTGTTTTGCTACTAACACTAACATGTTGGGGAAAGCATCTCTAATCTGTATATATCTGATTATCCATATGTATCTGATTATTACTAGTCATAATCGGTTGCACTTGGATCCTTGGCGCCTGTGTATGTCTGTAAAGTCATCGGGTAGATTTCAGTGGTAATGTTTATCACCTCTACTAATTAACATGATGTAAATTTCCATGCTTCCTACTCAAATATAATACATTTCTTAAAATTTGTTGATTGTGTGTGTGTGTGTGTGTATCACACAGAATGTGCCAAACCATCTTATTCAGCTATACACCCACTTCCCAGATGGTACCATCCCATAACCTCCCTCCCCCTACGAGAGCCCATATACTCTGATATTCCTGTTACTGTCTGCTGTGTTGTCAGCACCCCCAGCCATTTCCTACTACTTGCCTTTCTGGTGAATCTAGTCAACCTATTAGAGGTCTTTGTTTTAGGAGGGTCAGCTGTTCCTCATCTCGCAGCAATCACTTGTCAATATTCCTTTAGATAAGATTGGGGTCTGTTGTTCGTTTTCCCAGTTCTATGCTGGGTTACTATCTGGGAGTCCCTTTGTTTACCCTGGCCAGCAACTCAAAAGAAGGCATCTACTATCTGCCATTGTTGTTTGTTGTGTAGCCTTTAGCTATACATATGGACTCTTAAGAAATTGTATTGGCCCCTTGAATCTTTGGTTATACTTTCCTTGGGTGTTTAAGGCCATAAAGTTGGCCCAGATAAACCGATTTATTTTTACTCTTAAGGTCATTTGAGAATCTGTTCCTCAGGGGTCACATGGGCTTGGGAGGAGCCCCTGGCTCCTTTCTTTTACCAGTTTTGCCTATGTGACGATAAGTCAAAGGTCCTGCTTGACCATGGTTGGCTTCACTTGGAAGCATGGAGGAAATGACTCCTCTGCGTTGACCCTCGTCTTTATAGACTGGACACTAGTTCAAGTCCATCTGGTGGGGTCTCCTTGGCCTCCTTGATCAAGGGGTCAGGTGACCCACCACCATTACAGGACATTTTGAGAGATGCTCATAGTCCCTTGGAACTAATCGACCTAGGAGGGCCAGGAGCAAAAAGTGTCCTTTGTATCCCTCTGGCCCAATTAGTATAGATCTCAAGGTATGTCTGTTAAACATCCAAGAAGGTTAGT